GCTGACTCAATCTTTCTTTTGTCAGGTCGAATAATTGTCCACTTTTCGCTTTCATAAGTCAGCATGGGCAATTTTAATTGTGTGATTTGTCAAGTTTTTGTCTCAAGGTTCTTCGTATTGTTCCGCACATTCTCTGAAATTTATTTAGTTTTATATTCATATAGTTTTTAAACAGTATAATACATTGAAACCTAAATAATTAAAACTTGATACATGTTTTATTTATTATCTATCACTATTGTGATTTTTTCCCTGAAATGCGATGGGTTTTGTTTTCACCGTTGAAATTCTCAAGTTAAAGCCATTTTCTATAATTGTACGTCTGTTGACTGCTATTTTAAGACCTTATTCCGATTCACTAAAATAGCCTAGCCGTCTGTGAATAAATTGTATTTTACACTGTGTTACTTATTTTAAATTCTTTAATTAAAACATCTTGCCACTGTCTAATGACTTCGTCAATAAATATATTAAATAATATTGGAAGCATAGGACATCCCTGATTTTAGTCCTTGCTTTATATATATTTCCTTATAGCTAGTTGATTTTACCTTATGAATTTTTATCCTTATTTCTGTGTATACGCTTTGAAAAGTTTTTATTATGTAACCAGGAAATCCTTTGTTCTACATTGTGTTCCATAGCTTACGTCGGGGCACTCTAACAAGGCTTTCTCGTAGTCTTGAAACAATGTGTTTGTTGACAAATTGAATTATCTCCTTTTTTGAATGAGTTGCTCCATTATAAATATGCAATCAGAACATGAGCGCCGTTATGGAACCCACATTGTTCTGAAAGCATGTGTTCATTAATTGTGTTCAATCTTCGAGTTATAATCTTAGCATAAACCTTGTAAGTTGCGTTCAATAAGGTAATTCCTCTATAATTGTTACGAACCCGTCTGTTTCCTTTTTGCAAATAGGGCAAATCACCCCTCTTGTCCATTTATCTGGGATTTTATGCATGTTCCAGCATATGTTAATTGTGTTTTTAATCTTGCTCTGATTTATACTGGTGCATATTTCAGGATCTCGATATTCATGTCATCATTACCCGGAAACTTTTTATTCTTGAACAACTTGAGTATTCCTTCTAATTTGTCTAATACAGTAGGGTCAACAGTCACTAAGTCAATTTAATTTTCAGTCTCATTTTCCCACAAATCCTTATAGAAATTAAGCCACTCATCTTCTGTTATATTAATAAACGCTGTGTCTCTTTCAGATGAATTCAGATGTTTCATTGCTTTATAAGCCACATTTTGTGTACGATGTATGTCATATTCGGTGTTGCTTGTATTATTATCCCAGCTTTTTAGAGGAAGCTTTCTTACTTCTGTGTTTTGCAACAACACATTTTCTTTTATATTATGTTCTGCCTGCGCATGATTTAGCTTGTATATACTTCAGATATGATATTTTTATCGCACAAAATTCTTCACGTTTCCTCAGTCCATATTTGCAACCCCTTTTTGTATTTTCATTTGGGCTTTCTCCCTAGGACTTCATTTGCTGTTTTTAAAACAACACATTTCTTTTATCAAATACCTTGAATAAAACTCTCTTATGTGTGTACTATATTAACCTTCCCTACGAAATTCAGTAAACTTCATAAATAATGTAAGTAATAAAACTTTTTAACTGACTCGTGAAAGTTAGTGCATTGCAGGGAAAAGGTATTCAATTATTCATAGGCTTATGTATTAAATTTATATCTAAGAACTAAAGGGAGTGACGTCAGACATCTTTTATACTTTTCACTACGTTCTTGCTGCCTGGTTAGTAATGAGGCTTCTAACTAATTTAATTACATTAGCTATACGCTCCAAAGGATGTATGAGGATGTCTGTCTTCTCGGTTGTTGCGCCGTGTAGTCTGGTAGAAGTTTACCAACGTTTCAGAGGTCCTTGCTGCCTCCATCATCAGGACAATAATGGAGGTAGCAAGGATCTCTGTAATGCTGGTAAACATCTACCAGACTACATGGCACAACAAACAATCCAGACGACAGCCATATTCAGGCTAACCGCCGTGAAAATCTTAAATCCTACAATTTTGTGTGAGACTTGAAATTATCGAAAATTTGCAGCAGAAATAATTGAACGTTCGTTTTCAAGAATATAGTAAATACTAAGATTAAAAATCAAGATAATGTTTTGAGCTTTCAGAACAAATCACGGACAGAATAACTGTTAGGTTCCTACAGCTCTTATAAACTTGAACCGCATACGACTGAGAGATTGAGACAAATACTGCGCTCCAGTATAATTTAAATTGGACTTACAGGCACATTTTTCACGAGATGTTGTTCAGATGTTATTTGAACACACCCTATAATAACAACATAGCTTACGCGTTTTGTCCAAAAATATAGCAGAAGCAGTTGGTTAGTTATTTGAGTATTGCCGTAAAAATTGCCCGGCAGAAGAGAGATGCTCAAAGCTGATAACATTTTACCAAAACTCATTTAGACAAAGTCCTTGAGTAACTAATATTAGTGCAGCTGGTCAAGAACTTTCTCGCTGTTTTATGGACCCCGAAAGTTCAATACATGTTCGCAGGATCCTATCTTCGGCCAGCTGCATCCAATCCACAACTTGACACACCACTTCACTCCCCTTTAGAGTTCCCTGCAGTTATAAAACAAGTTACCCTTCCACTTCGACTGTTGAAGACAACTGACGAACTGGCGCGAGCAGGTTACAAAATGACGTGGCCTGTGTGGGATCTTACATCGTCAAGCGATATTGAATGTTTATTAATCCAAACAAACTGTTTTGAATTGCAACCATCAATAAATACTTTAATTTAGATTTTGTGACTTTACGATGTATGTGGTGTATTTCCTGCCCTGTTAAATAATGATTTGAAATGAGGGAGTGGTCGTAATTTATCTGTATCGCAGAATCTGCTTGGAGAAACTTAGGAAAGTCATAAAAATACTTCTGTTGGGGTCGTTAGTCTCCAGGTTAACGTCTTCCGTTGTAGCGATAAACTGTTACACATTTTTAAAAAGGTGATGTTAATTATTCAAAGGCTTTAATTCGGAAAGCTGTTGAATCGAGCGTTCAGAAAACGATTAATTATTTTTAGATATGGATCTATGCTTCTTGTTTCAAATAAGATCCTTGTTGCGAAAGTCATACGAATCTGTTGAATGTGAATTTTTTTTCTCGTTAAACAAATTCATTTCCGCGCGCCTTAACACATTACTTTATACTAAAAGGTGCCAAATATTTTTATATTGAACATTCTATCATACATGAGAGTAGAACTTGCAAAGCGAGGAATGTAATAAACATCCGAATTTATCGTAACAACTTGTGACAACACTAGTGTAATCAGCATGGAAATTATAAAGACCAAAGGATTGTCAGTTGTAAAACACGGCTGTGACATTTCCGGTTTTAGTATTGTACAAGCACACAGAGCAGGCCTTCCATCATACACCAAGAAACAGATCTGAAACTAAAGATGATGATGATACCCACATGAGCTCGCGTGACAGTTCCCACAGCACGAAAATTCTGTACTGCCTAAAGTTCATCCAAAGAGAGATATCAATCACGTAATAAGAGGCCAAATCAGAGACCGAGGACTTCCAGGCTGAGGAGGAAGCAGCTGTCACCGGGTGTCTGATTAACCAGCAGAATTTAAGGTTACGTATCTGGAAGAGACACCGAAGGGAATCATTCCAAAGGTTATATGAGACATGTTCTTACCTTGAAAATTGATATTTATAGCCATTCACAGACACTTCTATGCATTTCAGTTCTCAGTATAGCCTACCTTTAGTAGTCACTTTCAGTGCTTATTAGCGTTTAGTAGCTTAGTCGCTCGCTGTTCGCTAACTATAAATAAAAACTTAAGCAATCTGAACCAAAACGTTAAAATAGGTACAATAAGCCTGTCAGCCCGTCATATTAATAAGTTATCAGCCTAAGGTTATAAAATACGGAAAGTAACATCAATATTTTACATCATAGGATTAGTTTGTGTTGTAACTTATTATAACGTGTCTATAACCATAAAACAAGTGAAGAAGTGTTTCTGTGTATAATTTACAGTATTATATAAAAATTCGGAGTTGGTTCAGGAACGTGGCTGATGGCGGACTTTTGTGTTGTCGGTGTTGAACCTGCGGGTTCTGCTACCAGGGAGTTAGTTATTATAAAACGTCTGACCTTGACGTAATTACCATTTTATTTCGTATTCCGAGAGAGAAAAATATTTACCTTTTCAATCTACTGTTCTAATACCTAGATCTGTCAACAACTATTATTTACTTTCTGAAGAAGGAGCTCTTTTTACCAAATGAAGCAACTTAACAACCAAAAAGACCTTCAGACTCGAACGCACGGTCAGAGGGAGCTGAGAAGTAAAAGTTGGGAAAGCCAACGTGGCAGATATACACAATTATCATTCT